TTCTTCTTCTTCTTCTTCTTCTTCTTCTTCTTCTTCTTCTTCTTCTTCTTCTTTTTCTTGTAACCTGTATTTTTTTCTCTTCCCCAGAATGCGTTGGTCAACTGGATATCGTGTTCGCCATAGACGGATCCAACAGCATGAGTGAACAAAGGTTTAACACACAGATCTCTTCTCTTGTCAGTCTCTTCCAGACCTTGCCAATAAGCGAGTCTGAAGTGCACGTCGGATCAGAACTATTTTCTAGGGTCGCTGATCCTTCAGATTCCATCCCTCTCACTGGAGACGTGAACAGTCTGATCACAAGTATGTATACAATATAATATCATACAAAAAAAAGAAACAACAATTAAATTTTTTCTTTCAGTCAAGTCACCTCCTTCAATGCCTCAAAGCTTTCAGTTCTTATTTTATCTCTCTTTTGTTCTTCTTCTTTTTGATTCAATTGCAAACTATTGATTTGCTATAACTTATAATCATTACTTACGTTTCACGTCTTACCCTTTAAGTATCTATAATATGTTCTTTATTATCGTTTGGTGATGGTATCAATTGTAAAATTTTGTTCGTTCCTGTCTCAGAAAAAAAAGACAAAACATTAACAGTCTTCATTGAGACAATTGGGTGACGAAATGCAAAAGTGTTACTATCACAATGGCTTCGTCATGCTTGTAAACGTATGAGTATTGATCAGTTATTGAAAAATAAGTCAGACAAGTTTTGAATGAAATGAAAGGGAGAAGATGATTTTACAAATTCTACTTTAGGCAGTATAATTATGTTATTTTATCTCTGTTATGATGTTTCCGGTAGACGAGGGCGTATTTAAAGTATGGCAAAAATTATGACAAACACAAAATTCTGCATAGGCTTAGCACTTTGCAGTTAATGGTTTATGATGCTGGGATATCAATTAAGACTCCAGTGGGAACCCACACAATTTCGCTCTTTGATGCAAGTTTCTCTAAGGTACTGACAAACGCAGATCTGGCTTATGGGCCTCGATACAGACAGCATGGGCTGGGTTTTGTGCAAGGGGGAGCAAGGGGAGGGGGTGCATTGTTTGGTAAAGGGAAAAAACCCCAGATCAGAGGTCCTGTCTCTAGCTTGAGCGTTAAGAAAGTCGTTGAAAGGTCATGAACGAGACACATCAAGAAACAAAAACATCCATTTCTTCTCCCATAAATGAATACAATGTTAGCCGACAACAGGGATTTAAAAACATTTAGCAAGGGTTTGAGCAATCAATTGAAGTTTTGAAGAGCTGCTTTGAATATCAAGATGAAGAATACACTACATGCTCTTAAAAGTAGCAACATCGAAAAAAAAACTGGAACGAATACAATGCAAGTGGTAAATACATTTACAAAAATTAAATCTCCTTTACACATATTATGTTTTTGCGCTTAGTTATATTTGAGCTCATCCTAGTTTTATGTAAATTTATTACTGGTTCTATTCATGCCAGTCTAACCTTCGTAAAGTTCAAACACTTCTTGGGCTTTTCAAACGTTGCTTTCGTGTAGTTTGTAAGGAGAAAAGGTGTTCCTTCTCATTAATACTCCGCGATCAAGATCATTGCTTCACCATCTAGCCGTCTGTTCAGACCTCTTCATACTCAGTACACAGAGCATTCTCACAACGTTCTCTCCAAATAAAACTAGGTCAAAATATAGGACATGGAACAATTGTTCATACCTGTGTATTATAATATGCCTTTAAATGAAGTTCACATTGACGGGTTTTTCCTGTCTATAAATGTCGGTTACCTCAGTTGGTATCTTGAAAGACTACGAACCAACCGTCCCAGATCGAACCCCTTATCGGGCGTTCTTGAAGCAGACTGTTTCGTGAAGATTTTGAGGCTCTTAACCGGCTTGACTTGATTCTGTAGGAGATGGCCGTTTAATTCAGAGGTCCCGCCTCTTGAATAATTTAACAGTGTTGAAAGGGGTTTAAACTTATACACTTACTAACTTTACTTTCTCTCTAGTAGATTCATCAAAGTTCTTCAGACGAAAGGGAGAAATGGAGGGGAAGAGTTCTATCTAAATTGAAGTATTAACATGAACGTATATCTTGAGTTTGAATAAGAATGAACAAATGGATTTGTGAGCAATGTACTTGTCATTTAATTTAGTGTCTGCAAAAAAGGTACGCTGTTTGTGGTACGACATAATATTTAGGATATCTTGTGCAAATCAGTGAGAACTGCTTTGCTAGAACACGTAATAACCCTCTCCTCATGTGTCCCAATCCGTGTAGATAGAATATAGAGTTATGATATAGCTTTTAGGTGTGCTCGCCAAAGGGCTGGGTTTGAGTCCAACACGGTGATCTCCGTCTTTTATGTTGGCAGTGTTATAAAACGCTGCCAGAGTGATCCTGGCATCCAGGATCAGGGTAGCCCGCCCCCCCCCCCCTGGCTAAAGTTATCGAGGGAAGGGGGGGGGGGGCGTTAGACAATATTCACTACCAACATTATAATTTCTACCCATCATCATTGTCCATCCTGCCGCCCCCTCCCCCCCCCCCCCCCCCCCGTCATCCCCTATCCCTGCTTCCCGGATATGGCATCAGCGGCCTACTGGTTAAGCTACAGGACATTTAATCGTGAAGTTTCGGGATCGGTGGTCCAAGGCTCAGCCGTTGTGTCCTTGGGAAAGGCACGTTACATTTTTTCCCTTTTGGCTCGGTCCTACAGGAGATGGGCTTTAATTCAGAGGTTCTGTCTCTTAAATAACTTTACAGCGTTGCAAGGGGAGTTGACCAAATACACTTTCGCACATTTTTTCATCCAGATTTTCTTTTTCCTTTTCTGCGCTTCCTCCACACCGTACATATCCTTTACCTTAGTGTATCCAAAGATCGTACATAACAAGATGGTTCACTCAGCTAAAAAAAAAGTGTCCGCGGAAGTCCCTGCATTGGTTCAGATGGCGCTGCAGTCTTTGTTTTGAAGCTCTCTTTCGTTTCTCCAGAAGAAGAATAGGAATAGCACAGTTTGTTAGTTTCGCTTTTATTGTTTTTTGTTTTTTTACAAAAATAGTTTAAATCTGATCGCAAGGTCCGCACTTGTTTGAAGAAGGCGCCGCAGAATTTTAAGGACACTTTTTTTAATTGGCTCAAAGAGAGAGTGAACCATCTTGTTATTCACAATCTTTGGTGTATCTTTCGTTATCCCCTTTCACACCAACAGCGTAGTATTGTGAGACACAGTATTAAAGATATCGGACTTCCAATATTTTCGATTATCACCAAATCCCAAATTCTATAGTTACTTGTTTGTTTTTATATAGTTGCCACAGTAGTTTTTTTGTGTTGTTGTTGCTACTTCTGTCGTCGTTGCTGTTGTTGATGTTACTTATGTTGTAATTGTTGTTGTTTCCAATGTTGCTGTCGTTGCTGCTGTTGTTTTTATTTTTCTGATGCTAATGCTGCTGTTGATGCTGTTGTTGTTGTTGTTGTTGTTGTTGTTGTTGTCGTTGTTGATATTTTGTTGGCTATGTTGGATATATAAATGGGGAGGGTATTGAATACATAGGAACTCGCTTCTACTTTTAGCCTAGTGAGAGAGTCCGAGACAGTCTCGGACCGCCAGACAGTGAAGGGATTGATAACTCTATATGTCAACATTTGACGAGCGCCTGATTCCAACACGTTACGACGCAATTTCAAAGCATTCCTATGACAAGCACAGAAGAACGAGCTTAAATAATATTCTTTTATTTCACAATGAAGGCGTACGCTCTATGGAATAGCTTTTATAGAATTGAGCTAACGCAATTTATGAGCGCTATGCGCAGATTAGATTATTTTTAAAGCGCTGTAAGTCAGTCAAAAGAGTCCAGTTACTGGATTTAAAAGATCACTTGTCAGAAACGTTATCATCGTTTGCATAATTTTTTGTTATTGTAGGTTTCGGAATAAATTATAAGAGCCATATTTCGTATTCCCCTAAAGATTTGGAAAGATTTTCCAATTGTTATTATGACAGTAAACTCGATAACTGAAATTACAAGGTTCAGCTATATCTTCATTATTATTATTTTCAGTAGCCATTTCGTGGACTATTAATGCTACGTTCGTTCACACACATTTTTATTGTTTTGAGGTTTGATAGTTGGATATTGTTTGCTTCTTGCAACCAGGGATCTCTGCTTACCTGCACCCCGATGAAAACACAGCTACCGACTTGGGCATCATGGCAGCAATCAGAAACTTCCAGACATACGGTAGACAGAATGTGCCTAAACTGCTCATGGTTATTACTGATGGAGAGTAAGTTTGTGCGTGTACAGATTTATAATAGTGTTTGTGCGTGTTTGCGTGGATTTAATCTGGGGTGTCATGTTTAGGCATTATCAGATAGATTACTAGACGTGAGTGGGTTGGTTTGTCTCTCTCTTTCTCTGTCTCTGTCTCTCTCTCTGTCTCTGTGTCTCTCTCTCTATGTATGTCTGTGTGTGTGTGTGTGTGTGTGTGTGTGTGTGTGTGTGTGTGTGTGTGTGTGTGTGTGTGTGTGTGCCCGCGTTGGTAAATTCAGAAAGAAATAGAGAGAAACATAATTATAAACAGTCGCACTTGTCCAAGACACTTACCCATTGACGAGGAGTTAGGTAGAGGACATGGACATTATGATATCATATGGAGATGTAGAAAGCGGAAAGAAAAAGGGGATGCTTGGGAAGTTCTTCTTCTTCTTCTTCTTCTTCTTCTTCTTCTTCTTCTTCTTCTTCTTCTTCTTCTTCTTCTTCTTCTTCTTCTTCTTCTGCTCCTCCTGCTCCTCCTCCTCCTCCTCCTCCTCCTCCTCCTCCTCCTCCTCCTCCTCCTCCTCCTCCTCCTCCTCCTCCTCCTCCTCCTCCTCCTTCTTCTTCTTCTTCTTCTTCTTCTTCTTCTTCTTCTTCTTCTTCTTCTTCTTCTTCTTCTTCTTCTTCTTCTTCTTCTTCTTCTTCTTCTTCTTCTTCTTCTTCTTCTTCTTCTTCTTCTTCTTCTTCTTCTTCTTCTTCTTCTTTTTCTTCTTCTTCTTCTTCTCATCAATATTTTTATAATATAGGTTGTAAAACGCATAGAGCTTGCTTTTGAGCTTGAATTTGCGCTATACAAATGCTATTCATCTATCTATCTATCTATCTATCTATCTATCTATCTATCTATCTATCTATCTATCTATCTATCTATCTATCTATCTATCTATCTATCTATCTATCTATTATGATTATTATAATTATAATTATTAACATTATTATTATTATTATTATTATTATTATTATTATTATTATTATTATTATTAGTAGCATTATTATTATTACCATTTTTACAATACCTCAAGGTCTGACAACACCACAGCAACAGTCGAACAGGCCCAGGCAGCCAAGAATATGGGAATCAACATCTACGCTCTGGGCGTTACAGATATTGGAAGCAACGTTAACCAGGATGAGCTGAGACTTATCGCAAGTGCCCCTAATCAGGTGGGGTGATTGAGAAGTTGTTTTCTTTTTATCTTGATGGGCGGGGGTGATGTCATTGTCGTGGTTCTCTTTGAACTTAATGTTGTTGTTGTTGTCGTTGTTATTGTTGTTGTAGTTGTTATTGTTGGTTGTGGTGGGGGTGTTTCTATTGCTGTCGTTGTTGGTTTTGTTGTTGAAGTTGTTGTATTTTTGTTGTTGCTGTTGGTGGTGGTCGTGGTGACAGTGTTGTTGTTATTCTCATCGTCGTCGTTGTGGGTTGTTGGAAGGCTCCACTGGCAGGTCCTACTTGATTTCATTCCCTCTACTGTTTGTGTCTGCTTTTTTTCTATTTTCCAGGAGCACTAAACGATCAGTGTTAGATCTATGTTTTTTTTCTTATTCAAACGTAACAAACAAAGAGATAAAGAAGCAAACTGTTGTCGTCGAAGATGTACGTGGCAGTTTTGCTGATGTCATCGTTTGCTGCATAAAAAGGTGTTGGTACCCTTGTTGACCATTGTTAATTCACATTTGATAATGAATTGAGGTTGGGTTTATTTTCCACTCTGTTGTTGTTTGTGATGCAGATAAAGCCAATGACGATGATGTTTTTGTTAGTGCGATTATGAACTTGTTTTCTCTTTTTATTCATGACTTTGGTTCATGCTTTTTGAGTGTGATTTTGTAGTTGTTGTTGTTTACAGTTTTGCTACCGTTTTTTTGTTGTCGTTATGGTTTGAGGTGAAGTCGTCAGAGTTTTTCCTTATCGATATCAGTCTTGGTGCTACCATGTGTGAGTGTTGTTATTGTTATTGTTGTTGTTGTGTTATTGTTTGTTGTTGTTGTTGTTGTTGTTCCTGATGTTGATATTGTATTTTTAAATGTTGTTGTTGTTTTTTCTAGGCGCTTCATGATACCTTCTTCTTGACACAAATACAAAATACATATGTGCTCTAGCGTGCTTAATCATACTTTTTTGCTAAACTCAAACATATACGCAGGCAGTCGTAGTATTATCACAGCACAATCGATGACGATATACACATCACATAATTACGAACATAATGTTCTCTCTAATTTTTATCCTCCAGGTTCTATTGTCCAGTAACTTCAACGAGCTCGCGAAAACGCTGGTCCAGGCAACATCCCAAGCTTGTGTGAACCTTGGTATGTTCTCTTAAGACATTTTTTTCTGAAATTTATTCAACACACATCACTAACACTGACATGAATTTCTTTCTATCAGGCGTGCACGCAAGGATAGAAACCTGAAACTTTAAAAAACCAAATCGTGTTGTCATTTTGTTAACCCTAATATTTTCATTTTTATTCAGATAGCCTTAGCCTTTAGATTTAACCTTACTGACAATGACCAAGATGCAATAGTTTCATCCGTGGTGTACATGTATTCAACAATAAGTCTTTAAAATACTTTATCTTTGTTGTACTAACATACTACTCTTTTAGTTTTTAAACCATGAATTCATTCGGCACACGACTCTTCGTATCAATTAAATAACTGTTTCATTAGGCTTAAACCCGTTAAAATTGTGCTCACCCACTTTCTTCTATTTCCTTCGTTTCAACGATGCAGTGACGACAGGTATCAAACGAGCACAAACTATCGATCTACTGTGTCACTTGCACTTAAGAAAGTAGACGAAATCTGTGCACTCTTCTTCACAAATGTATGAAAATCACTCCTTGAAACAATGTTTGAGTGATTCTAGAGTGCTGGTTCCCCTTACTATAATAATGTCTGCGATGACAATTTATTGTTTGGAGTAATGTGAGTTGCAAAGGAAGGGGATACTTTCGTTAAAGTTTGGATGTGTGTGTGTGTACGCATGTGTTTGTGTGTATGTGTGTGTGTGTGTGTGTGTGTGTGTGTGTGTGTGTGTGTGTGTGTGTGTGTGTGCGTGCGAATGTGTGTGTATGTGTGTGTGTGTTTCGGTGTTGGGGGGGGGGGGGGGGGAGGTAGGGATATAGTGAAAATTTCAAAGGAGGGAAGATTCGTTTGATATTATAAACCTGTCTTGGAATGTTTAAAGTTACGAATGTTTTGGTTTGAGACGTTGTAGGGCTTGATGAAACAGGGAAAAACGTCAGGCGGAATGTCCAATAAGCGCTAGGGGCACTTGATAAGCGACGTATACAGCATCTGTACTCTTCACTGGACAAGAATGTCTGTCACTCGGTGCATATTATGCACACTTACTATGCGTCGAGAAAGCGCACTCTGCACATAATTCGAAAACTGCACCCTTTCTTCACAATGATTATACTCTATTCAACAATTATTTCAAGAGGTCTTTTCCTTGGAAAAAGATGTCTCCTAGCCTACTCGGCACTTATGCACTCTTACAGAATTCTTGACGCAGTTACATGTCAAGAGAGCACACACTTTGCACAGATTTCAAGATAATATGCACCCTTTTGCACTCTAATTATATATTGAACAACAACTCGAAATGTCCACTTGATTCTAGTATTGTGTTGTAGTTCAACAAACTCTATTTGCACTAATTGTTTATGTTTGCCCTTATTGTTTCACTCCAAGCAGTATAATAGCATTCACCTGTAACGCAGCACACCTGGAAAAATGTATTCCAGTTGACACATCCGGCACTGATGCATGTGCCATTCACTACATTATGTGTGAGGAATGAAAGTCCCATGCATCTTACTTTTGTAATAAAATCTAATATTAACAATTTGTCCGTCAATATCTGGCGGTGATCATTACCTCAGCTGAAGAGAACATTTCTCCAGTGAAATAGACGAATTTGACAAATTAAAGTTTATGATGACTTGTGGCTTCTGCTGTGGCCGATGAGACCAATTCTGGGAGAGAAGTTGCTAAAAAAAACCCAACACATTTTGAACATTGAAAGGCTCCACTTCCACTTATGGATGTGCGCAGCTTGCAGTCTTTACTCTTGAGAAGTATCTCTTCGATTTAACGAATTTGAAAGCAGTGGTATGACTCCACTCGACTTCAAAATCTCATTGAAATGACTCACCCTTAATGGAATTTTCATGTCAAATGACTTCACAGCACACACGCCAGTCTTTCACGTCAAAACGTTAACGTAAAAGAGATCAACTTAAAGCTTTTATACAATTCGCTGCTGTCTTATGCTGTATAATAATATGTACATTTGTTGTGATATGATGATGAATCTTATTTGTAATGAGCCCACCATCTTATCACTAGGCACTTTCACCTGATCACCTATCCTCCATCTGACCATCAATAATAATATTTATTTATAGAGGCACCAGCCATCCATGTTTAGGTGTTGTTTTAGCCACCCATCATCCATTCATTCTTTAAAATTCACACATTATTCACTATGCTTTCATTACAAGCATATCATTGTGGCACAAATGACATTGTGAATTATTTGCATTTCTTTCATCAACGTCGCACTTTGTTCAGGTAAGTGAGCAAGCATTTAATACCCAGCACTCTATTTTTTCCTCGGATTTTCTTCCACCAACAATATCCAAACATTCCCATCCCATTTTCATCCTATTCTGCACTATTGCTTTTCACGTTTTCTAAATAAAATCCCTTTCACTTGACAATATCGACTACAAATTGTAACTCTTCCCATTCCTCTGAGTACAGCACATTCTGTAATGTCGGTTTTGAGCTCCTAACAATTTGAAACATATTTTCAAAGCACAATCATATTATTATTCCATTATTGTGACTGTCGCACTGTACGGATTAATTTCCTCACACACCTAAGGTACGGAATGTTCATGAAGGTTTCTTTCTCCTTTTTTTTGGATTTTTTTCCCTTCCTGTTTGAGCACTTCAGTACTATGGTGTATTCCAGAGACCCCACTCTGTGAATGCTTTTCTTTTTTCTTTTGCACTTCTTTGGTCTTTTTTGCACATCTTTCATAATCGCGCACTTATTTCCTTTGTGTACGTGTGAGTTGCTTTGTTTTTTCAAGGATCACGGCTCATTACTGACTTAATGTCGTAATCAATCATGTGCTCACTTCCAATCAAAGATAGGCAACCTGTATAATGTACAAGTGTGGAAAATTGCCCCCTTCAAAGGTGAGATAGTGCAAAACAGCCATACAGACCGTATTGAATCGATAATAAAATCACGTTGGCTTTAAAATGTAGGTCTTTCAGTTAGTACTTCTGAAAGTTGAACGTGAGAATATGATCCTTGGAATCCGCTATGATCCCAAAAGGATGCCGTTTGTTCAGTCTAGATTGGATAATGGGTGAGTGATCAGTTAACATGAAGTTCTCCCCAGCGTCTGTCCCCTTTGAGTAATGTCACGTGACTGCTCAGATTTGAGGAGGGAATAACGGGAGCTAATATTCTGAGCCTGCTTCCAGAATGTCTCGACCTGCAGCTCGACCTCGCCTTCGTCATCGACTCTTCTGTGTCCTCAAGCACATTTGACCAACTGAAAGGCTTCCTGGGCACGTTCATTTCCTTCGCCAACATCGACAGCGGTGCTGTACGCGTCTCCCTAGTACCCTATAGCAACACCGCCTACGTGGACGCCCGACTGAATACTTATACGTCCGCCAGCTCTCTCAAGAGCGCCATTGACAGTATTCAGTACCGCCCTGGCGCCTCCAACCCTGCCAGTGCTTTCCAAACGCTGCGTACGGACGTGTTTACAGCGGCTGGGGGAGATAGAGATGGAGCAAAGGACATAGTTATTTATTTGACGGGCAGTAACTCCAACACGCAGACCACGCAAACCGTTCCTCAAGCCGATGCTTTGAAAGGACAAGGCGTCACTATCTATACCATCGGTAAGTCGTCAGCGCGTATACTTCTACTGACCTTGTAAATAATAGTTCGACGATTTCAATGTTTTTCTTATTTGAGTTTATCTACTAAAGTGCATCAATACTGAAGTAGTCGCTCACTCTCTTTGTGTATGTGTGTGTGTGTGTGTGTGTGTGTGTGTGTGTGTGTGTGTGTGTGTGTGAGAGAGAGAGAGAGAGAGAGAGAGAGAGAGAGAGAGAGAGAGAGAGAGAGAGAGAGAGAGAGAGAGAGAGAGAGAGAGAGAGAGAAAGCGTAAAGAATTTATGAAAAAACACAAAAGAGAAAAACGAAACAATTACGGTATACTAACATTCAGTCAGTTGCAAGTTACTTTACAATAACATTTCTTCACCAAGAAGTAAAGCACAACATTTTTTGAAGCTTCATGAGTCCACCGTAATAGAAATTTTCCATTGCAATTCAATATTGCGAATAGACAAAAGTATAGTCGGGACTATGAAGAATGTCTAAATCTATTAACTGAGCCTGCATTAAGTTTGTTTGACCGAGTTGTCTTCTCTAACTAATGTGTATATAAATGTGTAAAAGAGAAGGATTGTCCGATAGCACTGAGATATAGAATAAGATATTACTTATAAAACTGAGAATTCAAGACTCATGAAAAGCAATTTGTTTCACCTTTGACTCTCCAAGTCTCTCATTTTCTTATATCTGACCTTCTTTGACCATTCCTTTTAGATTGCCCTTTGTCTGCTTGACCTTTGCCTCTGTGGCTCCCATCTCTCTGCGATCAATCAATATTTCTATCTATCCCTCTATCTGTCTCTCTCTCTCTATCTCTATCTCTATCTCTCTCTCTCTCTCTCTCTCTCTCTCTCTCTCTCTCTCTCTCTGTATACATATTTATATATATATATTATATATATATATATATATATATATATATATATATATATATATATAAATCTATCTATCTATCTATCTAATTATAACCTGTTCCGCATCGAAGCTGTTGGCATCCCGCCTTCCCCCGAGATGAGGGCAGTGACCAGCGCGCCAACTGGCGAGAACTTGATCCAGGTGGCTCAAGGAGGAGACCTCAATACGATCTACCAGTCTATTTATAGCAACTTTAACAAGCTGTGTCCTAGTAAGTCAACTCAGGAGAGTCACTGGACATTTACGTCTCTTCCTTTGGTGGTATCTGTATTCATTACTCACTATCAACACAGTTACATCAATGGCAAGAATACGCTGACTATTTTTAGATTCTTGACGGGAATATTTTCCCGATACATACAGAGATACACCCAAACCCATTAACACTTACACAATCTCATACACTAAAAAAAGACAAATGCGTGTTTATCCACTCACTCACAGGCATAAAACACTTTCACGATAAAGGTGGCGTCGGTGGTCTAGTGATACCCATGACAGGGCAAGGTTTTCAAGAGGAATAACATGAATTAAAAGTGAGCGTCATTGTCTCGAAGACGGAGCTGAAAAAGATATACAGGGTGATCCCAAAAAAACTTTACAACTTTTTTTCTGAATATCTCGCGCAAAAATTGTTCTAGAATGCTGTAATTTGGAACAGACATAATTCATTCAAAGGGAACTTGTTTGATATAAAATCCATGAAGAAGAAACATGTTTTGAAAACGGAAACGGTTTTTAAAAAAGCACCCAAAAAAGTTCACCAATGTTTTAAAATCTTGTAAAGGAAGTCGTGAAAAGATTAGCTGACCGTTTTCTTTTTTTTTCTCTTTGACATTAATTTTCCATCCTTGTGACATCTAAACAATATTTAATATCGTTTATAGAGTTTTAAAAACCTAATGATTTCATTTTGAAATTCCTAGAAGCAGTGCTCCACATTCCCTCCGTTGGATTCGATACATTTTTAACACGTCGTTCGAAACGTTCAGTGGCGCCCTAACACAAGGACCCGTAAAACCATGAGTCTTTAAAGCCACATACACTGTTTATGTTCACTAAGAAGTGGCTTCCAGAGACAATAGAGTGGGGTGCCCAATAGACAACATTTTTAGAGTTAACATACCCCGCAGGGTGAAAATGGGCTTTGCACTAAACCAAAAGTCATCGAGGAAATTATCCCTCTTTACAAGACAATCGAGGAATCATGAACACATTGCCATGCTCTGATCCATGTCATCTCGGCCTAGTGCAGATGAACATGGTATAGTCGTAGGTTAAGATCTGCCATGAGAATACAGACTGTTGATGTGTAGGAAAGTCCTAGCTGCAGATCGTCTATGGACAGACGTCTCATGGGACTCAGCTACTGAAATCTGCACTCTGGTGACGTTTAAAGGGCTGCGCATGGTGCGTGTTCGACCTGAAATGGTCATTTTTAAAGAACTTTCTAGTTCAGATTCACTGTAGATCCAAACTGACGGAACTGCTCTACTCATGACGCCAAAGGTTTTGAGGGCACCTAAGCATTCTCTCCACGCCGTGCGCAGAACTTACTAAATGTCAGGGATGGTGAGTTTGTGGAGAGGTAATGTTCAATACAAAAAGCTCTCTGCTCTTTATTAAACGTAGCCATGATCTCAGCAGGTGAAACAAAATTTGAGAAAAATAATATCTGCAGACTTCTGTTGACATGTTAGACTGCTGTAGCTTGCAGTAAGGCGCGATTGTTGCAACTTTTAGAGGTAGGCATAATGCAAACAGGTGCGCCATGCTATGAAAATGGCGACAAGGTTGAAAATGGGCTGGGTTTTTTTTTTAATGCGCTATATAGAGCAAAACCATTCATTGAACTTATCTAAAATACATATCAGAAAAATTCCTTTTGGCTTCCAAGCGTTATGCTTAAATCTGAAACGCAAGACTTCAGTATGGGAGAAGATATCTACAAAACAAGTTGTAAAGGTTTTTTTGGATCACCCTGTACTTCGTTAAAGAATCGTTTGCTGTTACGGCGAATGTGATATTTCTAGTGATTTTAGCTTCAGAGAACTCTCAAAAGTACTTTATTAGCTACGTGAACTCAAACTGTTGTGACACATTCTGTTCTACTGTTTTGTTTGCCAGCAACTCAGTCACGTCGATAATAAAGCCAGAATCTTCCCAGAGCCAAATTACAATGTGAATTTAATTGACTCTTCTTTTTTCAGCGTGATATTTTAGCTAATGATATCCCGGTCGGTTCTATGTTATTTAGTCTATGATTTACTTTGTCATATTGTGAGCCTTATCGTAAAACCGGCATTTTTCAAAATCTGACTGAGTCACTGTACTATTACTCATTTTGTGTGTGTGTTTTATTCCTTGCACTCTTCGTACAGCCCCTTGCATTTTGTCGATCACTTACTTGCTACTCTCTGGCACCCTAAAAATACTATTCTCGATTGTTATGGGTCACACACTTAAACAGTATTTCTGAGTGTGATGCCGTTTACAAACCTTTATTTTGCATCTCTATTTTTCCGTGAAACCTAAAAGGGCAGGGGAAACCACCAATGCAAGCAAGAACTCGATGAGAGAAATAAAAACTGGCGTGGTGGATTCGACCTGTACATCACGCAATACGTACTTTAAGAAAAAAAAGTATAATAAAATAAGGAATGACGACTCTAGATCTACTTTGATTCGCACAACAGTGAAAACTGAACAGAACGCAAGACTTCCCGCTGTGCGAACTCTTTCTCAAAATTCTTATTAATAGCCTTTAGTTAATAATCAAAATAACGACAGAGAGTTGTGAGTCTGCTCAGTACATTGGTTCCCCTGCTCTGAGAAATGAATGACTATGTGGACACCTATTTACCATCCCTGCACGTTCACCTGCACTGCACGATTTTTAATGTTTGTAGCTAAGAATAACACTATGAAATTATGACCTAGAACCATTATGCTCTTTCTTCCGTACATGACATCAATGAGATCAACGCCTATTATACTTCAGTTTTTAATTAAATACCCTTCAACTTCAAGTCCTTTTCTTCGTCTAACTCAATATTTCCGACACTAGCACATGTTAGAACGACTATTCTATACCTATGTTATTATTGTTCAGCTATCCATAATTTCAAACTTAATAATTCCGGTAAATTCCCAGTTGTTAATGTAATTGACAACTGGATAATAATTGGTAAACTACTAATATAATTTGTCCTCCTCTTTCATATTAATTCGCTCTGACATTCCACCCCCCCCTTCCCCGACCCAGCCACTGATACTCCTCTTTCCCTGTAGACTTGTCCCTAAGCGCCCCTGGACAATCGTCTCACTCCTTCCACTGTGGCGAATACTCTACCTGAACACCCTCTTTGATATTCTCCCTGTTTAATGAGCCTTTTCCCATACTAACAAATTACCAAATACTTATTTAAGTAACTTCGATTGTTTGTTTAAAATATGTTTTTCTGAAATTTAGAATACAAAACAGAGACAGTAATACAGCATAGATTCTGAAATTTGATATGTTTTTCCCATTTTGAAGAGATGATTCGTCTATTAAATTGAATCCATCAAAGGTTTTCATGATGCATCATTGTTATTGAGACCATGTCTCTTAATATAAGAGAAATAATATTTGAAAATTAAGCTATTCATGTAATAGGAAATTCATTATTAAAGCTTTCTGTGGTTCGCATTTCATAAATAATTAAATCAGCATCAGCATTATGTGCAATATACAGTTTCTTGAATACTCTCTTATTACCGTATTTGGTCTAGAAAAGGTAATTACGTAATACGTGCAGTAATGGAGAGTTTAGAAGCATACGATTAAACACGTTTTTCTGTTTTTTTAAACTGTCTCCAATAGATAAAGTAGTCTTAGCACAAAGTATGCTTTATATTACAAATGTTAAACTAACGTTATTGCAGTTTAAGCAAATAACTATCCAATCAGTAAACTATCCTTCGTAGAAGCGTTAACTGTAATATTATTAAAGCTGAACAATTTTGATGGACCCCTTTCAAAACATGTCTTTTGTTGGGTTTGTTTTTCAGACCCACCTGTTGTTCTTCGGAGTAAGTAAACATCTCTTTATTTTGTATGGTCATTTTGTGGTTTAATGTAACAGGAACAGAAGAGTGGGGAGACCTTTTTTTATTAATGGAAGGAGAGGGGGGGG